GACGATCTTTATTTTTATCTACGTAAAACTGATTCACGCACGCCACAACTTTATGTTTTTTTAATGACAAAACCTTGTCGAAACGTTGTACATTTGCTGTTACGTTAAACTTATATCAAAGTTTTTCTTCATTACCCATTCAAGCCGCCTCCAACCATTATTAGTCTCAAAGTTCTTCGTCATCAAATTTGAAGTCTAAGTAACGTGACACATTTGTACTGAAACCAGTCTGAACAATGTACAATTTTTGTTTGTTGTTTTTTGCAACGATAGTTACGTATAATTTGTAGATCATCGAACCTTACAGATCATCCAGTATCTCAACTGAAACAAGCTAACAGCTATCTAAAAGTAGAGTAGTACCTATCCGTACGTAGGCCTATTTAATCTCCTCGAGGAAAAATATGTTACTCTTATTATGTGTTTAAATTTTGAATGGCGGTAGTCAATTTACATTAACTAATTATTTTATACTTTTATTTCCTGTGGGTTCATGATACTTGTTCCCTTCCCCCAGGTTAAGTCAATATTATGTGACATTGTCAAATGTAATATAATGACATCACGTAACAATTGAAATTCAAAAATATAGCTTTTCACGATAAGTCATTGTTATAAGGAGCTAAGGATAGCAAAAATCGCCAAACATTCAACTAATGGTCAAACTTCGACAGTTGAATTGTTGAAACGGAATATAAATTTACTTCTCTGCTCTGTTAAATTACATTTACTTTTAACTGTACGTTAAAAGTCGTGATTGTTGGTCACGTTTTCCTTCGTATTGTATTCGTTTACTGCTAAAAATATACAAGTTTTTAATCAGAAATAGGACACTTTTAATAATATTGCTGCATACGAGAAATTAAAAATGCGTGGCTGTTTTCGGTTTCAACTAGTTGCAGGGTGAAATGCACATGTTGGTTATCCCGTTCCTTCGGCACCGTGCCAGATTGACGTCATAATGAGATGTACGTGTGCGGGTATGACGCAGATAAGAGTCCAAATGATTCTTTTTATTGTAGTAAACGTCACGATGAATCACGTGTGATATGTTCTGAAAATACTTTTTCTCCACGAAGAGTAAGAACGTACAAGTTGCACCGTATCATAAAATAAAACATACTGAATCAAGTCATTTTATATGATTGCTTTCAATAGTGTATATTTATGTTTTGCCGACTTTTTGCCAGGTTGACTGTTTATTAATCAGGAGGCTATAGAAAGCTTGTCTTATTTTTCTCGTGAGTGTGACTAGTATCCAGTTATTTTCTTATTATTCTAGTTCATCGTATGGTTTCCTCTCTCTGGCACGATTCTCCAGTGGCACAGCGTAAGTCTGCGGACTTATAACGCTAAAAAGCACAGATTGTGTAGCTTTGCGCTTAATAACAAACAAACTCTTTGACATGGTGGGCTATAATAGATAGATCGGTATTGCAGACTCTTGTAGGTGTTATTTTATGCATTCTAACTTTTGTTGGCATTTTTGTTTCTCCAATGTATTGGAATCCACATTGACAGGGGATGCTGTTGGATCATTTGGTAGTTCTGCTGTGGCTTCTGAACAGTCTTCTGACTTTATACTGTTAACATATCTGTGTTTTTCAGAGAGACTTACAAGACAGGGGCATATGGCTGAGCTGTGTGTCTTTCTTCCTGCTTATCGTTGTTGTTTGTATCTGTATTTTTCAGAGAGACTTACAAGACAGGTGAATGTGGCTGAGCTATGGGTGTCTTTCTTCTTGCTTATTGTTGTTATTTGTATTTTCCTCCTTGTCAATTTACAATAACTTATGAGTAAGAGTAAAGAAGAATGTAATAATATGTCGCTCCACACTATACCAAGACTCAGCTGGGATAGGATGGACATGGTCTAGACTATTTATATGAACAGTTTGCTTGAAGAACAATTATTTCAGTGTGAACAAGATTAAGTTATTACTCAACAAAGTTAGATTTGTAATTTATTAATAACAAATGGTTTATTATTATTATTATATTTATTTAGTTTACTTCAATTAACTTTCCTGATCTTTAGTTTGAAGGAAATATGTTTATATTATCAGAGTCAAACAAAGATCATATCTTACAAAGCTGTTAATGCTAAAAAATGGCATATAAAATTCATGGTTGGAATATATTTGCTTACTACTACCCTGCGGCAACTGATAAAGATACCCGCAGCTTTTTCCCACTCAACATAATTCGAACTTAAATTTTTGTTGTATTTCTTCAACAGTATATTCAAAATTAAGTCTAATAATCATAGTGCAAAGTGGCAATTTTATGAGCAATTTTTTATTTTTTATTTTGAAATATCTTTTTTGTAGCTAATCATTTAGTGTCATTCACAAAGTGTTCTTCAGAGGTGTCGGAACCAGGGGTGCTGTACCACCCCCACTTTTACATATTTGACTTGTATAGGAACTGTAAATTATATTATATTATGTTAATTTTCTTGGGGGCATGGTCCCAGACCCCCTCTGTCGTAAAATCTGCATGTCTAGTCAAGCACCCCCACAACCCTTTCTACACTACTGTTCTTAAACTATTAAATATATATATATATTCAACACATAATTTCCAACTGATACTAGCAGTTTTTTTGTTTTTTTTTGCAAATGTATTGCTAAACTGTATAAGCTGACCGAAAATTAAAATGAGTGTAAAGAGTGGTATTACACCTCGAGTCAACTTGTGGCAGGATTAACAGCTTTTAAAACTATTGTCTCTTAAACAGTTGCTAATATTCTCTGTTTTTTAGTATTTCAACCATATTTTATGAGTAATTTTCGACCTCAGTAAGAAATAGCAATGTTTTTGTGTTTAGAAAAAATGTTGAGATTTGTATACTTCATTTCTTTTGTTTGTTGTGAGGTTGTTTCATTTGACAAAACAATTTACTTCGTGAGATGTGTTGCTATTCTATTGTACCTGTACTAGCAATAGTTATTTATAGCACATTATATTATTTTTTTCTAGAGCACAAAGTTGTTATTGTGGGCCTGGATAATGCAGGGAAAACAACAATTCTATATCAGTTGTGAGTGAATATTTTAAATAGTGGTTATATATACATCTATATATTTTTATTGCTTTGAATTTAAGGAAATATATATTAAGGTTTCAATATTGTTCAAATTCAATACTTTTTTTTATTTTTCATAATTTCTGAAAATTTGTAATGTATAACTAAACAGTTTTAAAATGTTCGTCTTTCCTAACAAGTACATATAACTTTTTTTAAAAAAAATTCAAGACCTTAATAATTGCAAATAACTACATGTAGTTGACTGATGGGCATTTTTTACCTTAGTGTATGTCAGTCAGCTATATTTGTGCTAAATCGTACCTAATAATAACTACTGTAGTTTAAGACTGTTTGTTATGCTAAATCTGCCACTGTCTTCAGATGTAGTCCTGATAATGGTTATTTTTAATAGGATTCTAGCCTGAAACCTTAGAATAAAGCATTAATCTGAGCTGAGCTGGTATTCATTTACAGCCATACAGCCGTATTTATGGTAAACGGATTTAGCAGTTTTCTCTGCTTGATTTGCTGAAAGGTTTCTTGTTTAGTTTTTCATTTTATTTGTACCTGTGCCTTTTTGTTTAACTTCTCTTTGCTAGATTTACTGTATTTTTTTGTTTTGTTTTTGCATGTAATGCATTTATTACAGGATCATTCAATATGAATAAGAAATTTTTTAGGGTTAGGGCTTATTGAATTTAAATGTACACTCAAGTTTTTTACTTCTAAGTTGATGATACTATCTCCTAAAAACTTTCAGAATTTATGTTATGTTGAATATTATATTTTTTATTATTGTCTCTCAGAAGTGTGAAATTAAGGTATACATACATAAAGAAATGCATTTTTTAAAAGTTTAAGAATAGTTCATTTATCCTGTTTCTTGAACATCTCAAATAAATATTTCTTATTTATTCAGCTTAATGAAAGAAGTTGTTCATACTTCTCCAACAATTGGTAGCAATGTGGAAGAGGTTGTATGGAAAAATGTCCATTTCATCATGTGGGACTTGGGAGGGCAGGAATCGCTTCGTGCTGCATGGAATACTTACTACAACCACGCAGAGGTGAGACAGTTAGTTGATAAGCCTTGTTTTAAGAAGGAAAGAGGAAATGGGTTGTAGTGACACTTTCAGTAGGAAGTTTATCAACATGACTCACCTTGAAAGTACCTTGTAACCATAACTCTGAATGTACTAAGTGTCTCTTCACATAAACATTAACGGTCTTTTTTTACACAAAATAACCTGATGTTTTTCACCAAAGAGTTTTCAATGAAGTTAAGAAGCTTTATTGAGTCAGTTTGAGTGAAATGGGATTTCATGTTACAAATAAAAATACTTCTCTTCATCTTATAGTTTCATATTTCTTTTGAGTAACTTCTAGGACTACCTAAATGAATATCAGAATTTTCTTTTTTGCCCCCCCCCCACACAAAAAAAAGAACTTCATTAACTGCTCATAGGTGAACAAAAATTATTACAGGAAAAGAATATAAGACCAACCAACTATCTACTTATGCCCACCAAAAAAAACTGTAATAAGCTTTATGTAGAGTAGGTTATGCTCCATTAGGTAAGTACATGTGATAAGACAGTTGCTTTGAAACCTGTGGCTTGACAAATTTATTGATATTTCAGTAAATTGAGAAGATAAGTACAAGTTTTATATTCCTGCTTGTTATTATATATATATATATATATATTGTGCCTCTAATTAGTTTGACATACTGAAAGCTGTATTAGGGAAGATTTAATAGTTAATAATATAAAAATTGAAATATAAACTACATTTTGATTCCAAGTTTATTGACATGCACACCTTTATCCAGCATTATGGAAAGTTAAAAAAAAAACTCATTTAAAGCACTTGTATAAGTAATAGAAATCAAGTTATTTAGTTCAACTTGTATTCAGTTCTGCCTTGTTGATACCAATTGTACTAAAATAATCCATTTTAACAAAATAGAACAGATTAAAATCAATATTTTGTTAAATTCATAGCCTGTGTATTACAATTACTTCTTGATGTAGTCTTGTCATTGGGAGAATACCCGTAATGATCACTCACTTCCGTACACAGAAAGCTATTTTCCTCTTGAAATCATGCTAATCCACCCGAGAGACTTGCATGCCACCATGCTCGTGAAAACTCCCACCTAAAATTCATGTTAAATTGCACTACTGCAAAACCTTCCACCAATAGGAGTGTGACACCTCCTTGCACAAATGCATCCTCTACATTCATGCTAAATATTTCAATCTATTCCTTGACATGGTTACGCTTAGATGTGTATATTTTTGCTGAGACTTGTTGAAGTAATTTACTTCAACAACTTTGTATTTTCAACCTTTCAATATGAATTCACAGATTAACGTGAATTCTTGTTTCTTCTGATATGCATACAAATATTACTCACTGTTACAAACAATCTAAGAAGTTCTTGCCTGATTGGATTATCATTGTGGTTCTTCATGCTCTTATCTGGGTCCCATAGAATCTGTAACAGATGTTTCTGCTCTCCCTGGACACATGTCCTATCCCTACTTGCCTTTGTATACATTTCTACATCCATGTTTCATCTCACTTTCTCATTCCTACTTTTTTCTATTTCTTTGCCCTTGGTGGTCATTCCTTTCTTCCAATGTCCTCTCCTTTTATTTCTTTTTTGGTGTTATTTCTGTTCAGGACAGATGCTCTTGTCCTCTCCAGGCCACACAACGTTTTGTCACACACTTCCTTCTTGGAGTTCCTTTCTTAACTGGGTCACCTCCTTAACCCGGGCCCTCTTTCCTTTCCCCATTATGGATTGGATCTACCAGCTCATACATCTTGTCTATGCCCTTCCGATGGTGGTGTTTGTATGCTATCTCGAGTCTTCTTTCTTCAGCTTTTCCCCACTTTTCTACAGGCTGTCAGGTGGACTACCCCATAATTATTCATTTTATATTAAACTATCTCCACCAACAGCCATTGTTCAATTAACCCTACAACTGTAATGGGTGTGAGTATTCATTTACTTATTCTTTGCCTACTGTTCTTCTACTTTTGGATGCCACTAGGCAGCTTATGTTACCTTATAGGGTATACTTGTCCAAAACTCTGCATCAAGCCAGGATAACAGAAAGCTCTCAAACCATCCACCCTGACCCAATCAGTTCCCACTGCTAGATAGGGTGTTCCTCAAGACCACTGGAGTTTTACTCATGGTAATACTATAATATATTCAATAGTCTGAATCAGACTACCCATTCTGTGAACTATCATGGAAAAAGCCAGCAATAGAGTTGTGCACCTGCCCACTTCTCTGGCTAGCACTTGTTGGCTTTTAAAAATAGGGTTTTGAAGTGCCCTCCTCCCATGACTGTTGAGGGACCCAAAGTTTCTGGTGGTAGAAGAGCTGTGCACAGATACTTACCACAAGTGCCCTTCTCTCACAGTTGGTGTTGATTTGTAGAGACTGATGGTTGAGGAGGTGTGCACCAACAGTTGCAATCTAAACAAGCCCCAACCTCGCTACACTTTTTTGCCATCAGACGTCTTGTGTGCGAGTACTCTGATGGTTATTTACCTATTTTGTCCATCCTTGTGACACCATATAAGCCTTTCACTTCTAGTCCTGCTCACAGGTGAAGAATATACCCTGGATGAGATGAGATACAGTTTCTCATGGGTGTGCCCCTAATGGAGCCCCTGGGCTTCCTTCAGACACTTGTTGAAGGGAGCTCATCTAGTTAACTTTTGCACCGGCCCCTCCACCATCTTAATGTGGGATTCTAGCTTTCTTTGTAAGGAGGTGAGTTCTCGTACCAGAAGCTAACATTTTCCTTAATTGAAAATGTATTTCCAATAGATATTCGCCTCTATACATGTTCCCACCCATCCTCCCCTCTTTCCTGGTGCATCTTTATTTGGGACCTTGTCAAAGAATGAAATACTTTGCCTGTAAATGTAGAGGTTGCATTTATGCAAGGAGGTGTGTTGTTGCACTCCTTTTGGTGGAGGGTTTTGACGATGTATCATGCAGTAGTGCAATTTCTCATGAATTTTAGCTGTTTGTGTATGGAAGTGAGTATCTGTCAGAAATACATTTTCAATTAAGGAAATTGTTAACTTTAATGCTATAAAATTTCAGTGCAAAAGTTTGATGTGCTTAATGTTTTATCTAATGAAATGGAGCAAACAGACAGTAAAGCATTATAAAAGAAAAAAATTATGATGATATAGAAAGTAGTTAATAATCAAGGATAAATTATTTTGTTAATCATTAATAGTTTGACATTTAGTGGCCTTTGCTTTTTAACATGAAGTCATGTATTATTATTTGGAACAGTGGTTCCCAAGCTCTCTTAGTCTGAGACTCCCTTGACGTGAATAAAAAAAAAGTTTGAGGCCTCCCCAACTTATAATTTTAGCATGGTGATTGGAAAACAGTGTCGTAGTAAAAACAATAATATCTTTCAACATACTGTATCATTTAATTAATTCAACATAATTACTTATTGTTTATTTAGAATAAAAATTAATTCAGCATCCCCCCTCCCCCAGCCCCACCACACAAAAAGCTTCATGGCTCCAACAATCTATAACTGGAAATTTACTATAAAAAAAATAGTGTAGCTTCTTAACTGCACAAAATAAATTTGTTTATATTGTTTTTTTAACGTATAAATTATCTAAGAAACATTCCTAGGAAGTACTCAAACTATCGTTTTAAGAGCAGCATCAAAACAAAATGTTTTCCATCTGTATATGAATATTTTACACATTATTAGGAAGTAAGAAGAAAAGTTAACTGTTGTAAATTTGTTACTAACAAAATATGCTGCACTGGTGATGTGCAAGTGTTTGTTATTACCTTAGCTACATAATGTTACACTGTTATAATTTATTCTTTATTCAGAAACTGAACACTTGTACTGTATGTTTAGACAGACTGTTAGGGGACTAACCATTGATTCTATGTATGTAATGTTTGTAAACGAATCTTCAGTATCAACAGCACTCTCAATATACTAGTTTTTTGTTTTTTAGTCACACAATAGGAAATTATAGTTGACCTTGTTTCAAAGATGTTTCAGTAGTGTTCACTACTATAAAAGTGCAGAAACCTACAACACAGTATAGAGCTTGGAGTAGATTACAAGTTAGCATGTGTGTAAACATTGTTGTTGGCTTATGAGCTTACTGTGTGTAAAATGAATTGTTATAACTGATAAGACTTCTATATCTTATCAACATGCCTAAAGATTTTATCTACATGTGATATATATGTTTTCTACTCATTCAGCTGTGGTAGTAATGACACTTATCAACTTTGTATTATTTGTAGATGTAAGTGCAACGTTTTCTGTTTAAGCTGGAGATACCTTAGTGGAATTAAGTGCTCTATACAAGGTTTTTAAGTGGCAGCCAATAGATTAGAAAGATCATGTGTAAATCTCCCGGCATCAGACATATATAAGTTAGGTAACCCTACAAATAATTTCTCAAGGACAAAGGTAGATTAACGGGTTTATTTTTCTGTCAGTTTCTTATAGTTGTAGTGGATAGTACAGACAGGGAGAGGTTACCAGTTACAAAAGAAGAACTATGGAAAATGTTAAATCACGAGGTGAGTACAAAGAGGATTTATTTGAATTAGAAATATTGTACTGGATACAGATACTCTTAAGCGATACATTTAAGATCAGAGGTTCTTGCTGGGTGTTGTACAATTTAAACACATGTTTGAATTTACAGATACTCTTAAGTGATACGTTTAAGATCAGAAGTTCTTGCTGGGTGTTGTACAATTTAAACACATGTTGGAATTTACAAATACTCTTAATTTATACATTTAAGATCAGAAGTTCTTGCTGGGTGTTGTACAATTTAAACACATGTTGGGATTTACAGATACTCTTAAGTGATACGTTCAAGATCAGAAGTTCTTGCTAGGTGTTGTACAATTTAAACACATGTTGGAATTTGCAGATACTCTTAAGTGATACGTTCAAGATCAGGGGTTCTTGCTGGGTGTTGTACAATTTATATTTACAGATACTCTTAAGTGATACGTTCAAGATCAGAGGTTCTTGCTGGGTGTTGTACAGTTTAAACACATGTTGGAATTTGGTTTCTTATGAAATCATCTGACAGGAACTACGTAATCCTACAATATCTTTTCATTTTACTATCAGTATGGAAGAGTTTTTAGATTACTTAAATTTAGAAAGTTGTTCTGACTTTGTGTGTTTTTGCTCTTGATAAAATAAGTATAGGCAAATCCATAGTTTAGTCATTTAAAAAAAATTACTTATTAATAATTTCTTATTATCAGTGTATTTAAAATTTAAGAACTAATCAAGTACAGATATATTTTTAAAAACACGGTTGTTATCAGTAGAAGATTTTAAAAACTTGATAAAATGAAAAGCACCAAATTTCATATATTTAGTGTATTAAACTTATGCTGAATGTAACAGAACCTATACTGTAAAGGATTTGCTTACCAAGCATTAAAATTAAATCTTTATGGAAATATTACATTTATTTAGATTTATTTAATGAGGCCTTCATTTTTTAATTGTTGATACGTGTTGTATTACACAGTTATATATCTAATTGAAATACTGTCAAATTTGGATGATACTTGGACATTTTATTTCTATAGGCATAAAATGTAAGCCCTGGGTAAGTTTTCTTTGTTACTGGAATGTATGCTCCACGTGTTCCTGGTAGATACTGGCTGGTCCTCCTAAATGTGGTCTGCATCTCATTGGTAGAGTTAGCCCAATGTTGATGATCAGATTTCTCTTATGCTGTGGTTCCAGTCTGTGTGCCATTGTTCCCTGTCTACAAAACATGAGAACTGGAAAACCCTGGCTGGGACTTGTACTTATATTTCTGTAAAACTAAAATATTCAAATATCATGCAAGCTGGACAATATTTTGTGTGTATACGTAACTGTGCCTCAACCTGTAGGTTCGCCAGTGAATGAAGGGAAGAAGCTAGTGGACTGTGTAAGAGAAATATACTTAAGTAAATAGTTGGTAAATATTTTTAAGCATAAATAAAACTAACGTAATAGTCACACCAACTTTAAGAAAAAATATTTATTTCTTTATTTTAATAGGATCTTAACAAGACATCTGTATTAGTGTACGCTAACAAACAGGATCTTAAAGGTTGTATGACACCAGCAGAAATCTCAGAACAATTGAAACTTACGTCTTTAAAGAAACATAGATGGCAAATACAAGCATGCTGTGCTCTTACGGGAGAAGGGTGAGTTAAGATTCTATGAGTAGAATACTGTCCGAGTGTATCTGAGAAAGGAATCTTTGTTTGCCAGGTTATAAATGCCTTCTAGAGAATGTCTTAATCAATTTGCTACAAAAGTAAAGTTGTATAGAAAGTATAACTTATACTGAAATGATAAAAATAAATAATTGAACTTGTATATATTAACTTTCAAGTATGCACTGCTTACTTCTTTATGTTATGCCAGTTAGTTAAAAGCATGCAAAACAGAACACTTACAACAAAGTAGGCTACTGAAATCTCAAACAATTGTACAAGCTAAACTTGATTTTGTTTTGATTTCCTGCAGATAGTGAAAAATGTATGTTAAGGTTTTAGCTGAGCTTGTCACTAACAATCAACATGTAATACCTAAATTTACAGAAAAAAAAAAATTTAAAGAGGTACAATATTTTCAACAACAGTACTTCTCTCTTAGCTGGGTTCTCTTGTTTTTGTTGTTATGTGCAGTGATTGCTAGAGGCTAAATATAACTGCTGTATTAGACATAAAATAATGTAAAGAAAGAAAAATTTTCTTCTTTTCGACAGTCACTGATATAAAGATCTGCTATGTCTCCATAATTAGTTAGCCTTAACGATTGTTTTCTCTCACTAGTTGTTTTCATGTTTCTGATGCTCTTTGGATTGTGAATCTGTTCCTACACATTTTTATTTTAAACTGATTTGACATTAAACTGATCCAGTTAAATCTAATTTTATTACCCTTTAAGTCAGACAGCTATAAGCCTATGGATTTACAATGCTAAAAACAGGGGTTCAATTCCCCCTCAGTGGACGCAGCAGATAGCCTGATGCAGCTTTGATATATTAAAAAAAACACACAATTTAAGAAAATTAATTAACAATTTTGAAATGTTTTTTATAGCTGTTTTCTGATAATCTGGTAAGTGTTTTGTCAAGTGAGTAATGTTTATATTTTTTGGGTAAACTGTAAGTTTTTTCCTTCAATTTTTATAAGATGGTAATAGTTTTGTCAAATTAGTATGTGTCATATTTTATGTTACAAATGTGTTGGAATAATAATAAGTTATTTTAAAAGATTTTGTAATGTTTAAAATATTTTTCATTATTTTTTTTAAAGTGTATTAGGATTCACGCGTGAAAGAAACATATAAAAGTTATTTGATTTCTGCATAATGAAATCAGTGTAATTTTTTACTAAAAACAGTATTCTTTTATTAACAGATTATATCAAGGTCTTGAATGGATTTATTACCAGCTGAAATGTAAGAAATGACACTGTAGCACCTAGGTATGATATTGTGATGTACGGTATTTTGAACACCACCCTATTCTGACCATAGTATCATGCTGTGACACAGATGCAGGAATAAATAAACATTTGGTGTTTGGACAGATGTATTGTGACAAAACACCTGTGCAGAAATGACTTCTGCTTTATAGTAACTCTATGTTTAAATATATTTTTAGAATGTGTTGGAATAACAAACTAAAGAACAAGCAAGTTTAGTGTGACAGGTTGCTTTTCTAAACCTGTACAAGTTATGAAGAGTAACCATTATGTCCAACTGTTTCACTGTACCCACATTTGTGTTGTACACAGGAACTCCCAAGATAAAAAGAAAAATACAGCATGAAATACAATTGTATGAACCCTCTCTATATATATGTACACAACTTGTTTCTTTGTACGATATACTTCTTGAAGAAATTTGTTTGTTAATCAGAAATGAATCCATTACTCTTCTTGTGATGTGGTAAAAGTGTGATCTTCATTCGAGGATATGAGGAGCATCATATCCCCAGTAAAGTAGATTTTTTTTCTACTTTTGAACTGTGAATGTTGACAACTACAGGAATTTGTGGGAAAACTTTACCCAGTCTCTTCTGTTTCGCTTAAATTTATAAGCAGTTATGAAGTATGTGGACTCAACTTGTATTTCTTTTGTATAAGACCTATTACATCAGCAGTTTTTGTGAAAACTGTTTAATTATTTAAGTAGTGAAAGTCTGAAGAATTGTTAGTTTTACTAACATTCATGTGAATCAACTTTTGTTTTTTTTAAATATCCAAGTTTTTGGTGGAAAAATTCATTTGTAATAAGGAACATTCCTCAACTGGTTGTCACTTTATCCAAAACAAAATGTATACTATGTATTTGTTTCTTCCAAACAAAGTTGCTGAAATAGTAGTGTCTTTTTAATATGTTCCTTTTAACACATGATATATAAGATTAAGCTTTGTAAGAGTTTTCTTATTTCAAGCGAGTATGTATGTTTGTACTATCAGTTTTGCAAATCTAGAAAATTATTATAAAATTGAAAGGATTAGTTTTTCTAAATAAATTTTTGTTTCCTTAAATAAAATAAATATATTTATTTTGTGATACTAAAATTTCATGACAGATCATTAATGAAGTGGCATCCAATGTAAAAAGTGTTGTGGTGTTTTTTTTTCCACTCTTTTTTTTTAATATTGTGAGACAGATTTTAAAATACTTAATTAGGATTTGAAAAATGTCACAAACTAAGTTTGCTATAAAATTTTAAAGTGAGTTCAAGTGTTGGCCTGTCACAATTTACACTGTGGTCCAACTTATATACTAAAGGCTGTCTGTAATGATTGCCAAAATAAGTACATTCTGACAATTGCTGGACTGAGCTTTAGATGATAACGAGTACGTCTACCTACAGTTTTTTTTACTGATAAAGCATTTTATTTGCTTATAAAATACTTGCTAGTGCACACAACAAGAAAGATATGAAAAACATTTGTGGGAAAATTGTTTGTAAATATGGGCAAAATAAAAAAAAACCATGAACAAAGAGGGGAAAAAAATCATTGTATTAAGTTAAAATTTTTGATAACCTTAATTTAAAAAACAAACCTACATGACAGTCTAATTGTAAAACAAATTACCTGTGTATACCATCCAGATTTAATGAATGAAATACATAGTTTATAACTCGTACAAAAAATAATTTTTTTATGATCTGTAAATTAAAAACGTTAGATTTCTGGTAAAGGAATTCTGTTATCAATTTCAGATATCTTCTGCAAGGTATTTGGTTAGTTATTTCATCACCAGTCTCCTCAATGCTCTTTATTCTTTTTTTTTTAAACCAGTACTTTGAAGTAAGACAGTTGGAAAGAATTAATTAATAAGAGAACCAAGGACCATTACGAATATTAAACAATAAACAACAAAGATTTATAATAATTAGTACCAAAAATATCTGGTTATTTTGTAGAGTTAAATGTTCTTTAGACATTTAGCTAAATTTTTTAATCAAGTCCTCAACAGTTCTTTTCCTACATGGAAACAAGAACAGAATTGATTAATACACAATTGGTTTTAAATATTGAATGGCATACATTTTTATATACATATTTTTTTAGTGTCTTTATTAAATATTAGATTTGTCTGCAGAAAACAGTTGCAGTTTATTAGGTCTCAAACGAAGTTTTAAGTCACGAGCTTATATAATTATCCGAGTCTCTCTTTTTTTTTTGTCTTTATTTTATTTTTTGCAGCAATAAAATGGTGTACAGTGGGTAATCAAGGTCTCTTAGACTACCTTTGTACATCATACAGGGTTAGCCATACCTACCTACACTATATTAATCTCATTCATTAGTTTTGTTTATTTGGTTGTATTTATATTAATATGTAGTTAAGTTAATTCTTTTTTTATAAGTTATAAAAACTGAATAGACTTAAACCAGAGAAATGTAATTAAAAAGAAAATCCATTCTGACAACATCAGGAAAAACATGTATACTAGTAGAAGTACCAAGAATGTTACCCGAGCTTTTACCTTCTATATACGAGTTTTATATAATGAAGTCATTTGTCTGGCAGCTAGTTTTTTACCTTATTTCATTATTAAATAAAGTAACATTTGCAATGGATTGCTTAGATTTCACACTTTGTTTCCTAACTGCCCACAATCGGGTATATGGTCACTATCACAAGGTGCAAGAAGTGTCACTGAAATTTTTGACTATAATTCACAACTACATAACTGCATATTTGTTATTTTATATATTGATAATAAAACAAGTTAAACTTTTTTTTTTTGACTGGTACTGAAAGCAAAATCTGTTTCAAAATATTCTTTGCTAAGGTTATGTCCTTAAAACTTTTTAACTTGTAACTTACTAACTTAAATAGCCAAACAAAAGATACCTGTAATAATTATGTGATGTCATTTTTTATTAGTAAACTGAGAAATTTCCCAAAATTTTACACTTGAAGTCTTTGTTTATAATAGAAAAATATTTTGTTTCTTAAACTAAGGCTTTTAGTAGATACAGATTTGTTTCATTACAGTTTTTCTGCAATAATATCTATCAGTTTCCCACAAGACAACACGTTAATAATAAAACAAATGCTAAATTAGGTAGGTTGCTGAAGGTTCTTCATTCATAAGGTTGAAGAAGTTTAAAAGACAAACAATTTTTTCGTTTTTGAAGTCTTCGACTCATCGACTGCTGATTTCACATAGAGTATGTTCTCTCTCTGGCAGTTGAATGCGAGTGTGCCATATATGGTGTACAGCTTGCAAAAATTCCATGCTCAAAATCATAAATAATATTCAACGTTAAAACTGGTACACAATTAAAAACATTTTATTCAGGCCTATCTACGGAGAAACATGTAGAGTCATCAACTTTTTGAAAG